GGGTCTGAGGGAGGAAGGGGCTGGGGGCCTAGATCCTGGAAAAGGAAACCATTGGAGCTTAAAGTCCTGGTCCCTCCTCCCTCATCCACACTCTGGTTTTAGAAACATCTGGTTTTATACAGCTGCTCCACCCGGGCAGGGTGGGGTGGGGGCTGGGCAGCCAAATGCCCAGCTTCTGAGTGGAGCCTGGGCTTTCCCCACCCCCAACCCTGGGGTAGAGGAATCTCCCTCCCCTCCTGCTCTGGGCTCAGCTCCCACCGGAGGATCCATCATCCTGACACAGCCAGACACCAGGCAGCCCGGGCTCCAGGCAACAGCGTCACAGATGCAGCCACGCCCTGGTGAGGTAGGTGGGGTGCCTCGCACTTGGGCCCTGAACTGGCCTCCCCGACAGCCAGGCTCGGGCAAGGCCCAGCCTAGTGATGGCCCCCCACACCCTGCCTCCCCTGGGAAAACCAAGGAGTGAGGACTCGGTGTCCTGCAGGGGAAAAGCTCCGGGGCAGCCTGGACCAGATGGGGCCGCAGGGAGAAAGAAAGGAGCACTGAGAGACAGAAAACACAGAGAGAATCAGTGAGTGAGAGAGAGAGCGTGCGAGACACACAAAAACCCATACAGCGATGGAGCCTCAGAAGGAGATGCACAGAGATGCAGGGAGACCGAGGGAGTCAGAGACAGAGGAAGAGAGAGACAGAGACAGAGGAAGAGAGAGACAGAGACAGAGAGAAGAGAAACAGCCGCTGAGAGAAACAGGGAGAAACACAGAGAAACTGGGAGATTGGGGTGGGGGGGGGGGATACGAATAAAGATATTCAAGGAGAAACAGAAGATGAACAAATACAAAGGAAACAAAGGCAGAGACACACAGGAGACTGAGAAAGGAAGAGGACATTCAGAGTAAGAAAGTCAGGGAGACCAACAGTCAGGAATGAAGAGACAGACAGACACAAACCCAGAGGGAAGAAGGTAGAAAAGGACACAGATAAAGGGGGAGGGAGAGAGAGACGGAGATAGGGACGCATGGAGAGAAACAGACAGCAACACAAGGAGAGACCTAGACAGATAGGTGGACAGAGAGGTAGAGCCAGAGTGACAAAGTAACAGAGACTCAGAAAAGGAGATGGGGGTGTACAGCCAGGGGCAGAGGGAGAAGCAGAGAGAGAGGCACGTATAGAGGGAGAGAGATGGGCATTGTCAGTTCACAGGAAGAGAAACAGAAAGAATTAGGTATAGAGAATGGGAGGGGGGAGTGCGGGCGGGGGCGGGGCGGGCACAGTCGGTTGAGCTTCCGACTCTTGATACCTGCTCAGTTCAGGATCTCACGGTTCCTGGGATCCAGCCCTGCATCCGGCTCTCCTCTGACAGCTCGGAACCTGCTTGAGATTCTCTCTGAGTCCCTCTCTTCCTGCCCCCCCGCCGAATAAATAAATAAATAAATAAATAAATAAATAAAACATTAAAAACAAAACTTTAAAAAAGATACACAGAAATTTTTTTTAATCATGGAAAGAAGGGCATGGAAACAATGGCATTTATCACTGAGTCTCCTGGTCCTGAGGGGCTGAGGGCTTAGATCCCCAGGACCCCTCTCTTTGGGTCTGACTCTGACTCAGGTTGCAGGGGGTTCCTGGGGGCCGCTGACCCACAACTCTGTGAGTTCACCCGGGAGCCCTTGGGAGACAAAGCCCGGCGGCCACCCCCCTCCCCATCCCTGGCACACGCGCACATCCACGCATGCAGACTCACAACCACTCACAGCTCCTTCCAGACAGCGCGCCCCACAGCCCGCGCGCGCGGCCACGCCCACAGCCGCGCACGTGTGCGCATTTTCTCCATCCCCGGGGCTTTGAGCGGAGCGGCTGGGGTGCGGGGTACCTGGCGGGGGCGGAAGAGATCGGACAGATAGGGGGGAAAGACGGGCGTTGGGGGGCCTGGAGGCAGAAGGAGAGCGAGGGAGAGGAGCGCAAACAAAAATGGAGACAGACAAGAAGGGGGAAAGCGGAGAGCCGGAGAAGGCCGGGTGCGACGGAGGGGAGGCCTGGGAGGGCAGGGAAGGGCGCGACGGCGGCCCTGGGAACAGAGGCCGTCGGGCGCGGGGGTGCGGGCAATGGCGGGAAGCGGGTGGAGCTGCCGGGCTCGGCCGTGACCTCAGAGCCCCTGGCCCAGCTCCGCCCTGACGTCAGCCTTCCTCCGCCCCCGCCTGCGTCGGGCTTCAAATGACCCCCGGGCTCCCCAGCCACAGAGAGACCGGGGAGCCAGCAGGAGAGGAGCGCCCGCCGGACCCACAGCGATGAGACAGGTGCGTGCGAGAGGGCAGCCGTGCGGGGCCTGCTGGCACCTGTGTGCCCACGTGGGTGGGGGCACCGCGCGCGTTCCCGTGCGTAACGGCGACCGTCAGTGTAGGACAGTCTGAGGCCGAGCGTTGGGGTTCCATCCCCCTCTGTAGGTGGCCATCCCACCGGCAGTATAGATGTGACGAGTCCGTGCTTAACCTGCTCGAAGTCCGCGTCTGTGTGCGGGGTGCGGGTGGGGAGGCAGGGCGGTATTACCCTGGTTGACACACGGTCTGGATTTCTACTCGGCTCCAATAATTATTAAGTTGAACCAAACGAAGTCACCGTTGTCTGGTTACTTTTGCCCTTTCAAAATGGCAATTTCATACGGTTCAACCTTAACCGTTACTATTTCTTCTTGCTCCGCACCCACAGGTGTGTCCGTGTGTTTCTTGCCCCGTGGGCATCCCTTCTAGGCTTAGCTCCTTTCTGCTCAAGGGCATGTGTTCCCAAGTTCACCTGCATGGCTGTTGGTGGGGAGTCTCAGGATCACTTCAGTTCTTAAAGAGCTCAAATTGGGGAGGGGCAGAGAGACGGGGAGAGACAGAATCCCAAGCAGGCTCTGCGCTGCCAGCACAGAGCCCAACATAGGGCTCAAACCCACCAATGGTGAGAACATGATCTGAGCTGAAACCAAGATTCAGCCACTTAACCGACTGAGCCCCCCAGGTACCCCAGGATCACTAAGTTCTAAGAGCAAGTGTCTGGGGTTATCTTCTAGAACATGAATATTTTCCTATGTGGGCACACTCTGTGTGCCTCTCGTCATGTGTGATTATATGTGTGGGGCTGTGTGTCCACAGCTGACACAGGTGTGCTTCTGAGTGTTGGCATTAGAGCCCTGTGTTCACCCACCTGTCTCAACGTGAATTGGGTCACCGCCAGAATCTCAGGCAGGGCTGGGTTTGGGGCCAAAGGACAGAGAAGGAGAATTCCAGAAGAAATAATAATGTAATTATTAATATTGAGCAATTACTAGCACCAGGCCGAAAGCTCTACCTATATAGAAACTAAAAGTTGTATCTTATAGAAACATAAAAGTGAATTTCAATAATATATTTTATTCAATGCAGTGTATGAAGGGTCATCAAACTTTCTGTACAAATCTGGACAGTCGATATTTGAGGGTTTTGTGTGCCATATGGTCTCTATTGCAACTAGTCAACTTTAGCATAGCATAAAAACAGCCACAGACAATATGTAAACAGATGAGTGTGGTTCTGTGGCAGTAAAACTTGATTTAAGGATGCTGAAATTTGAATTTCATGTCATTTTCATATGCCACAAAAGTTTTTTGTTTTTTTTTTACTTTTTTCTGCCCATTTATTTTTTTAAGTTTATTTTGAGAGACAGAGAGAGCACAAACGCGGAGGAGGGACAGAAAGGCAGTGAGAGAATTTGAAGCAGGCTCCTGACTGTCAGCACGGAGCCCAAAGTGGGGCTTGAGATCATGACCTGAGCTGAAATCAAGAGTTGGATGCATAACCAGCTGAGCCACTCAGGTGCTTCTTTTTTCACCCATTTAAAAATGTAAAAACTTGAGGCACCTCACTGGCTCAGTCAGTAGAGCATGCGACTCTTGATCATGGGGTTGTAAGTTCGAGCCCCATTATAGAGATTATTTAAAAATAAAATCTTTTTTTTTAAAATTTTTTAATGTTTTATTTATTTCTAGGAGAGAGAGAGAGACAGTGTGAGCAGGGGAGGGTCAGAGAGAGAGGGAGTCACAGACTCTGAAACAGGCTGCAGGCTCTGAGCTGGCAGTCAGCACAGAGTCCGATGCGGGGCTCGAACCCATGAACCACGAGATCATGACCTAAGCAAAAGTCGGACGCTTAACCGACTAAGCCACCCAGGCGCCCCTAAAAATAAAATCTCAAAGAAACAAACATAAAAACCAGTCTTAGCTTGCAGAGTTGAAATGAAAAGGGCAGCAGGCATTTGGCTCAGAGGCCGTAATGTGCCAACCCTTGCTATTAGAAATATAATTTCATGGGGCGCCTGGGTGGCTCAGTTGGTTGAGTGTCTGACTTCGAGTCAGGTTATGATCTCATGGTTCGGTTCGTGAGTTTGAGCCCCGCATTGGCTCTGTGCTGACAACTCAGAGCCTGGAGTCTGCTTCCAATTCTGCGTCTCCCCCCGCTGATCCTCCCCCCAAATAATAAATATTTAAAAATTAAAAAAAAGAGAAATATTATAATTCATGAATGGATGCATTGGACTATATTTGCTACAACATAACATAAAACTTCACAATGAGATTTTTTTTTTAAATTTTTATTTATTTTTGAGAGACAGAGAGAGACAGAGCATGAATGGGGGAGGAGCAGGGAGAAAGGAGACACAGAATCCGAAGCAGGCTCCAGGCTCTGAGCTGTCAGCACAGAGCCCGACGCGGGGCTCGAACCCACAAACCGTGAGATCGTGACCTGAGCCAAAGTCAGACGCTTAACCAACTGAGCCACCCAGGCGCCCCCACAATGAGATTTTTAAAACTATCATTTCAGTATGTAACCATTACGAAAAACATTAATATTTTACTTTCTGTTTTTCAAAGGAAGGATTCAAAATCCAGACACATACATAGCACATCTCATACAGATGCTGTATTTTCTTCTTCTTCTTTTTTTAATGTTCTATTTCTGACAGAGAGAGAGAGACAGCGTGAACAGGGGAGGGTCAGAGAGAGAGGGAGACACAAAATCCAAAGACAGGCTCCAGGCTCTGAGCTGTCAGCACAGAGCCCGACGCAGGGCTCGAACCCACGAACTGCAAGATCATGACCTGAGCCGAAGTCAGACGCTCAACCAACTGAGCCACCCAGGCGCCCCATAGATGCTATATTTTCACTGGAGACACTTAATCTGTATTTAGATTTCATAAAATTTACACTTGAAAGAGAAGTTTCCCACGCCCTACTTCTTTCAGACACACTTAAAAGCTTACCAATAACTGAATTAAGTATTAGTTTCTAAACTTAAATATTTAAATAAAATTAGAATTTCACTTCCTCTGTCATTCTGGCTGCTTTCCAAGCACTCAGTAGCCACACGTGGCGGGTGACTCCTGTACTGGACAACACAAATCTGTATCTTAGTGACCCACTTAACTCATAATAAACCCATGAGGCGGGAGCGGGTGACACATGAGGCAGTTCAGTGTAGGGGACGATGGAGCCAGACTGCCTGGGTGGCCTTGGGCAAGAGAATCATCTCCCCGTGCCTCAGTTTCCTCACATGGAATAGGAGCGATAACAGTATCTACCCCATGAAGCAGTACTTAGCACGCAGAAGGGGCTAAATCTCCATTTTACAAGACATGAAAACAGAGGCACCCCTCTTTGATTCTGAGCTCTCCCAGCAACATATACTGGGCACTTGACCCTGGCCAGGGGGACCTGGGCAGTGGAGAGAATGTGGCCATGCCTTTGGCAAGTCAGAGAAAAGATTTCCTCCACCTGTGGGCTTCATGACCTTCAGCGAGCCCTTGTCCTGGCTAATCAGTCCTCAGTTTTGCCATATGTATGGTGGCAGTAAACATTCTTTGTCTCCCCTTCCCCCCCAAGGCTCTCCTGAAGAGTAAAGCCAGTATGTAAGCTGGTAATTCAGTGACCGGATTCCTGGGGTTCACATCTTGGCTTCTCTGCTATCCAGGTGTGACCTTGGGCAGGCTGCTGCACCTCTCTGTGACTCAGTTACCTGTTCTGTAAAATGGGGATGATAGTAACAGTACCTCCTCTTACGGTTGTTGTGAGGATTCAAATAAGTTAGTTTCTGGGGGCACCTGGCTGGCTCAGTCTGTTAAGACTGGGACCTCAGCTCAGGTCATGATCTTGGGGTTTGTGAGTTTGAGTCCTGCCCTGGGCTTGCTGCTGTCAGCATGAAACTGCTTCTGATCCTGTCTCCCTCCCCTTTTCCACCCCCCTCCCCCACTTGTGCTCTGTCTCTCAAAACAAAAAAAATTTTTTTCTGGAAAAGGCTTACAGCAGTACCTGATACATATCAAACTGCATTATTTTTTAGATGATGATGATGATTGTATCAACACTAAGAAACCTTTGATTGTGAGATGAGTGATTATTTTATGTGCCACTAAGAAGTGGGGGCGGGGAGAGGGGGAAAACCCCTGTTAATTAAACTGTGACATTCCACTGAGTGTAATCCTCTCGGATTGCAGAGCTGTTTAAAATGTGAAAACAAAAGTAACAGAATCAATATAATCTGCATTGAGCCCTGCTGGTTGCCACAATTATTTTCATTAATGAAAATACCTTTGCAGTACCTAGGGAAAAAAAAATTTTTTTTTTCCTAAACAAAAAGTGGATGTTACATTGGCTTGGGAGGGGGGAAAAACCTAGATCTTCTCTTTCCCAAGGAGGATTTCAAGATTCTTTTCCCTTGTTATCCCCTCTCTTCGCACCTAGCAGGACGTGCCCAAGCTCACCCCGGCCGCCCGCCACTGCTCCGGCCTGGCCCGGCGGGTGCTGACCATCACGTTCGCGCTGCTCATCTTGGGCCTCATGACCTGGGCCTACGCCGCCGGGGTGCCGCTGGCCTCCGATCGCTACGGCCTCCTCGCCTTCGGCCTCTACGGGGCCTTCCTCTCGGCGCACCTGGTGGCGCAGAGCCTCTTCGCGTACCTGGAGCACCGGCGGGTGGCGGCGGCGGCGCGGCGCGCGGCGGCGCGGGGGCCCCTGGACGCGGCGGCGGCGCGCAGCGTGGCGCTGACCATCTCCGCGTACCAGGAGGACCCCGCGTACCTGCGCCAGTGCCTGGCGTCCGCGCGCGCCCTGCAGTACCCGCGCGCGCGCCTGCGCGTCCTCATGGTGGTGGACGGCAACCGCGCCGAGGACCTCTACATGGTGGACATGTTCCGCGAGGTCTTCGCCGACGAGGACCCCGCCACCTACGTGTGGGACGGCAACTACCACCAGCCCTGGGAACCGGCGGCGGCGGGCGCGGCGGGCGCGGCGGGCGCGGGCGCCTACCGGGAGGTGGAGGCCGAGGACCCCGGGCGGCTGGCGGTGGAGGCGCTGGTGAGGACGCACCGGTGCGTGTGCGTGGCGCAGCGCTGGGGCGGCAAGCGCGAGGTCATGTACACCGCCTTCAAGGCGCTCGGCGACTCGGTGGACTACGTGCAGGTGAGTGGAAGGCGGCCCCTCCCCACGGTGCCCCTGACACCCGGCGTCCCTTTTCTCTGGGATTTTTTTTTTTTTTTTCAGTGATTGGAACGAACCTCTTTCCAACTCCCTTTATTTATTCATCCATTCAAAGTAGGGATTCTTTCCTTCATTCGTTTCTAACATCCGTCTATCCGTCCTTCCGACATGGAGACCACTCATTTGTTTTATTCATTCATTCAGCGATTCATTAATTCCTTCCTTCCTTTATTCATCCATCCTCTAGTGCATACTCTTTCTTTCACTTCTACCCATTCTTTGCTTTAATTGAAGTGTAGATGACGTCATATATTCTTACACCCATCTCTCCAATATGGAGATCATTCATCTTATTTATCTGTTGGATGCAGACTCTTTCCTTCACTTATTCACTCATCCGTCCATCTGGTCATCCACTCATTCTGAAGATTTATTCATTTGTGCATCTCATATAGGATTTATTTATTTGTTTGGTTGTTTAAGATTTTAAGTAATTTCTACACCCAACATGGGGCTCAAACTCACAACCCCAAGATCAAGAGTTGCATGCTCTACCTACTGCCAGCCAGGCGGCCCACATTCAGTGTATTTTCATCCATTCAGTGTAGAGATTTCTTGCTTTCTTCATCTAGTGTAGAGATTCTTTCCTTTTGGGGCGCCTGGGTGGCTCAGTCGGTTGAGCTTCCGACTTCAGCTCAAGTCATGATCCCATAGCTCATGGGTTCAAGCCCCGCATCAGGCTCTGTGCTGACAGCTCAGACCCTGGAGCCTGCTTCTGATTCTGTGTCTCCCTCTCTCTGCCTCCTTCCCCACTAACTCTCTGCTCGCTCGCTCTCCTTCACAAATAAATAAACATTTAAAAAAAAAAGAAGGGGCGCCTGGGTGGCTTAGTCAGTTAAATGTCCGACTTTCGCTTAGGTCATGATCTCGCGGTTCGTGGGTTCGAGCCCCGCGTCGGGCTCTGTGCTGACTGCCAGCTCAGAGTCTGGAGCCTATTTCAGAATCTGTATCTCCCTCTCTCTCTGACCCTCCCCTGCTCATGCTGTCTCTCTCACTCTCCTAGAAATAAATAAATAAAAAAAAAAAAGAAATTCTTTCCTTGACTCATTGGTTCATACGTCCATTATCCACTTAATATGGAGACTATGCATTCATTTATTCATTCACTTACCCATTGAACGTGGGGATTCTTTTATTCCCTTCCTTCATTCATTCAGTGTCAAGATTCCTTTGTTCATTTATTCATCCTCTTATCTAATCAATATATTCATTTGCTCAATTAGTCATTCATCCATTCAATGTAGAAATTCATTCATTAATGCACTGCATTGCTTTTCTATGGCAGCAAAACAAATTACCACAACTTTGGCAGCTTGAAACAAAACACTTATTATCTCATAGTTTCCATGAATCAGGAGTCTGGGCAGAGCTTAACTGGATTCTCTGCTCAGGGTATCATCAGGCTACAATCATGGTGTCGGCTGGGTCCTATCTAAGGCTTGGGGCCTCTTCCAAGCTCATGTGTTTGTTTGCAGATTTCAACTTTGTCTCTTCCAGATCAACAAGAGAAAGCCTTAGACTTCTAGACCCCTTTTCAGAGGGCTTGCCTGATTAGGTCAGACCTACCCAGAAAATGCCAACAGATTAGGGATATATTACATTGCAAAAACTGCTTTGCTATTTGTATATAAGGTAGTATAATCGTGGGAGTTATGTCCCATCATTTTTGCCATATTCTATGGGTTAGAAGCAAATTACATGTCTCACCCATGCACCAGAGGAGGGTATTATACAAGGGCATGGGTCTTGGGGAGGTCATCTTAAAATGTGATTAGGTATTGATAATGATGACAGAATTCAAATTTATGTTCAGATTGGCTGTAAAATGTCCCTGCAGCTCCCCACCCCGTGGTACCCTCCCCTCAAGTGCCAGCCCCGGGCAGGGATCTGGCCTGATCCTGCCCCTTCTGCTCCACAGGTTTGTGACTCAGACACGAGGCTGGATCCCATGGCATTACTGGAGCTGGTGCGAGTGCTGGATGAGGACCCCCGGGTAGGGGCTGTTGGGGGAGACGTGCGGATCCTTAACCCCCTGGACTCCTGGGTCAGCTTCCTAAGCAGCCTGCGGTACTGGGTGGCCTTCAATGTGGAGCGGGCTTGTCAGAGCTACTTCCACTGTGTGTCCTGCATCAGCGGTCCCCTGGGTGAGCAGAGGTGGGGCTTGGGAGGGCCATGGAAGGGGTGGAGGGGGAGAAGGGGAACCAGAACGGGTTGAGGATGTGACTGAGGTTGGGGACAAAGATGGAGCTGTGGCAGGAATTGGGGACAGGTGAGACAAGACGGTGGGATGGTGTTGGCGGGGCTGGAGAAAGCGTGTGGATGGGGATTGGTGCTGGGAGGTTTGGGGAAGGGGATGGGATGCATCTGGAGTCAAGGACAGGGGTGGGGCCAAGTCTGGGGCTGGTGAGGGGTTTGGGATGGGGACGGGCAGGGGACGGGACTGAGAATGGATACGGGGTGGAGAATGGATGTGGGTGTGGGCCCGGGGCGGGACTGGGGCAGGTGTGGGTATAGGACTGAGGTATGAGGTTGAGGGTATCGGGTTAAGGAAGGACCGGTGTTGAGAACGGGATCAGGGCTGGACTTGTCGCTGGAGGTAGGGCTGAGGGCAGGACCGAGGTGGCTGAGGATGGGGCTGGAATCGGAGGCGAGTTGGGTCGGAGGTAGGACTGGGGACGGTACTGGGGACAGTAGAGGATGATGCTCCCCCTGGACCCCCCACCCCCACCCAGGCCTGTACAGGAACAACCTCCTGCAGCAGTTCCTCGAGGCCTGGTACAACCAGAAGTTCCTGGGCACCCACTGCACCTTCGGGGACGACCGGCACCTCACCAACCGCATGCTCAGCATGGGCTATGCCACCAAGTAAGCCGAGGGCTCGGGTGGTTGTGTGTGTGCGTGTGTGCGCATGCACGTGTGTGCGCGGGGCATGCTGGAAATTCTCCAAACCCAAAATACCTCACAGGACAGTGGGCTCTGCCAAGTGAGACATTAGGGGAGAGTGGGGGACACCAGAAGGGACAGGGTGGCAGTTCCTTTGATCATGTGACCCAGTGGGCTCTACCAAGTGAGGCAAGGTGAGGGCCGCGATTCAGCCTGGGAGACACAACATGAGATTGGGGCCAGAGGGCTCTACCACGGGCAGCACAGCTTCCTCCCAGTGAGGGGGGAAGGGAAAGAGATACACAGAGTGGGATCTAGTGAGCAAGTGAGCGAGAAGAATCACATGTTTCAAGAAGAGTTGTAATTGGGTGAAACTAGGGGAGTACAGCCTCTACCACGTCAAGTTCAGGCGGGGGAGGGAGGAGAGAATTCTACAAAGCTAGACCCCATGAAAGGGCCATTGAGAACTTGGGGTATACTGAGGGAACCTAGCATTCATTCACTCATCAAGTATTTATTACAGTGGTTTTAAAAAAAACTTTTTTTAATGTTTGTTTATTTTTGAGAGAGAGAAATCAAGAGAGGGACAGAGAGAGAGGAAGACACAGAATCCGAAGCAGGCTCCAGGCTGAGCTGTCAGCACAGAGCCCAATGCGGGTCTCAAACCCACAAACCAAGAGATCACGACCTGAGCTGAAGTCGGATGCTTAACCAACTGAGCCACCCAGACGCCCCACATTGGTTTTTTTTTTTTTTACGTTTATTAATTAATCTCTACACCCATTGTGGGGCTTGGCCCAGTGATCAAGAGCCACACGCTCTCCGGCTGAACCAGCCAGGTGCCCCTCATTATAGTGTTCCAAGCCCTGAGAATACAGCAGAGACACAAATTCAGGCTCACACCCACTGGGGAGACCGTAAATATATGGATGATGGCACATGCCGTGCCGTTGGATAATCCAGGAAAAGTGGGAATAGGGTGTTTGGGAGTAGGGAATGGAGTGTTAACTAGGACGCCCCAGGAGGGCCAGAGGTGGAGGCTGGACATGGTGCCACCGGAGCCCTAGCAAGGGGGGAGCGCCTCGGGGGCAGGACGGAATGGTAACGGTGGTGTCCTCACGAAAGGCTTGTAGGCCACTTGAAAACTCTGAACTACGGGCCGAGGGGTGAGGTGCTACCTGTAAGTGGATCCCTCTGGCTGCTGTTTGGAGTACCGAGTGCAGGAGGCAAGGGCAAGGCAGGGAGGCTGCACAGGGGAAGGAGACCGAAGCTGTCAAGTAATACCCTGAGGATAGAGTAGTCGGACACCTCCTAAGCAACCGACTGCTGGCGGCCACCTGATGACGTTCCCTAAGAGGGATTCTAGCTTTGCGTGGGCTTAGCGGGAAAACGGGGTGGGGACTGATTAGGATGTCTGCTGCGGCCACAGGAAGGGGGCTTGATGGGTCACTTGAGCTCTAAACCACTGGGCTGCCCTGGGTGGGAACATCGCCTGGTCGGTTCCTCACCACAGGGCCTGCCAATAATAGTGAGTGCTGGAGTATTCGTAATAGATTAGTGATAGCATTAGTAATAGGTCAGTAACTGTGATGCCGTTAGTAACGGCGGTAGGGATATTAGTCACAGTGAAAACAGTAGTAGCCGCTAACATTTATTGAGCAACCGGGCCTGAAATCCTGCTTCAGTGCTCCCAGCAGCCCTGTTAGGCGGCACTCCTCGTCGGTCCCCTATGAGAACCGGCGGCGCAGGGAGGTCCAGCAAGCCTACAGCCCAGTGGCCGTTCCGCAGCGGCCCCCTCTGGCCCCAGCTCCGCCCTGGCCACGGGGAGCGCGGCGCTGACGCCCGGCCCCGTCCCTCCCGGCAGGTACACGTCCCGGTCCCGCTGCTACTCGGAGACGCCGTCGTCGTTCCTGCGCTGGCTGAGCCAGCAGACGCGCTGGTCCAAGTCGTACTTCCGCGAGTGGCTGTACAACGCGCTCTGGTGGCACCGGCACCACGCCTGGATGACCTACGAGGCGGTGGTGTCGGGCCTCTTCCCCTTCTTCGTGGCGGCCACGGTGCTGCGGCTCTTCTACGCCGGCCGCCCGTGGGCGCTGCTGTGGGTGCTGCTGTGCGTGCAGGGCGTGGCGCTGGCCAAGGCGGCCTTCGCGGCCTGGCTGCGCGGCTGCCCGCGCATGGTGCTGCTCTCGCTCTACGCGCCGCTCTACATGTGCGGCCTCCTGCCCGCCAAGTTCCTGGCGCTGGCGACCATGAACCAGAGCGGCTGGGGCACCTCCGGCCGCCGGAAGCTGGCCGCCAACTACGTGCCGCTGCTGCCGCTGGCGCTCTGGGCCCTGCTGCTGCTGGGCGGCCTGGTCCGCAGCGTGGCGCGCGAGGCCACGGCCGACTGGGGCGGCCCCTCGCGGGCCGCCGAGGCCCACCACCTGGCCGCAGGGGCCGGCGCCTACGCGGGCTACTGGGTGGTGATGCTGACGCTCTACTGGGTGGGCGTGCGGAGGCTCTGCCGGCGGCGCGCGGGCGGCTACCGCGTGCAGGTGTGAGTCCCGGAACCGGGCGGGGACCCCCAGGAGCCACGGACTTGCTGGCTGATTCTCTGGGCGCCTCTTTCCCTCCTCTGTGAAGTGAGGGCGTCGACCCAAGACTCTTCAGCCTGGACTGTTTGGGGGCTGGGACTTGGGGTCTTTGGGCAGGGGTATTTATTGATCAGGGTGTGGATTTTTAGGGGCAGGGGGAGGCAGGGGTCCCCGTATGCTGTTCTGGGGCCCGCTCTCTACCTGTTCATATTTAATATCCATTTGTACTGTGTGATTAGGATATAATAAAGAATTTTATTTATTTTCTTCCGAGTCTCTCCCCTCCCCCTTTTTTTTGAGAACTGAAGAGCTACATGGTTGAAGATTGAGGACTCATGGGTCAGCTTGGGTATCAGCTGTTTTTAAAAAAATGTTTATTTTTATGGGGCGCCTGGGTGGCTTAGTCGGCTAAGTGTCCGGCTTTTGCTTAGGTCATGATCTCACGGTTCGTGGGTTCGAGCCCCGCGTCGGGCTCTGTGCTGACTGCCGGCTCAGAGCCTGGAGCCTGTTTCAATCTGTGACTCCCTCTCTCTCTGACCCTCCCCTGCTCATGCTGTCTCTCTCTCTCTCTCCTAGAAATAAATAAAACATTAAAAATTTTAAAAAATGTTTATTTTTGAGAGACAGAGCATGAGCAGGGGAGGGGCAAAGAGAGAGGGAGACACAGATTCCGAAGCAGGCTCCAGGCTCTGAGCTGTCAGCACAGAGCCCAACGCAGGGCTCGCATCCCCAAACCGTGAGATCATGACCTGAGCTGAAGTCAGACACTTAACCGACTGAGCCACCCAGGCACCCTAAGCTGTTTTTAAAGGTTTTTTTTTTATTGAGAGTGAGCAGGGGAGGGCAGAGAAAGGGAGAGGGAGAATTCCAAGCAGGCTGTGCACCATCAGCGCAGAGCCCCACGTGGGGCTTGAACTCACTGACGGAACTGTGAAATCATGACCTGAGCAGAAGTCAGGTGCCCGCAGCTGTTTGAACATAGACAGGATACCCTCCTTGTTCAGAGCCTCAGTTCTCTGCCAAACAGGGACACTAGTCACATAGGTCAGAGTTGTGAGGGGGAAGTTTCTCAACTCCTCGTTCACAGCCACTTAGGGACTACCTTACCATGTGGGGTTCTCTTGAACCCTGAGATCAACATTTGCATGCTCTACCAACTGAGCCAGCCAGGCACCCCATACTGTCTCATTTCTAACAGCAAAACTCCTTGAGAGCTGTTTGTATTTGTCCCCCGTTTCCACAAAGTTCAGCCGTGTAAAACGTATAATTCGATAGACTTGTTGCGGCCATTACCAAAATTAATTTTCAGACATTTTCATCACCCCCCAAACGGAACCCCATACCCACAGGCAGCCACTTGCGTTCCTCACGCATTCATCCTAAATCCACTGCCACGCCCTAGGCAGCCATAATCTACCATGTCTACAGATTTGCCTCTTCTGGAGATTTCACATAAATGATGCGATATGAATCCTTTGTGACAGACTTCTTTTGAGGTTCATTCAGTTGTATGGATCAGTGGCTCATTCCTTTCCAGGGCCAAATAATATTCCATTGTAGGGATGTATCACATTTGCCTTATACATTTGATGGACATTTGGGATGTTTCCATTTTGTGGCTATTGTGAATAATGCTATGAACTTTCACGTACAAGTTGTTGTATACACACAGGTGAAATTCTCTCAGGTGGAATTCTCTAGAAGTGGAGTTGCTGAGTCACAGGGTAATCCTATGTTTAATTTATTGCTAGATGATTTTCCACAGTGCCTGTGCCATTTTATATTCCCACCAGCAAAGTATGAGGGTTCTGATTTCCCTACATGCTCACCAACATTTGTTACCACCTGACTTTTTTATTATAGCTTCCCTGGGGGTGTGAAATGCTATCTCACTGTGGTTTTAATTTGCATTTCCCTGATGATTAATATTGCCTCCCACTGACTTTTAAACCCATGCCAGTCAGATGGCTTCCCCCAGCCCCACCCCATAGCTCTACAGAAATTGCTCAGGTTTGGGGCGCCTGGGTGGCTCAGTCAGTTGGGCGTCCGACTTCGGTTCAGGTCACGATCTCACAGTTCGTGGGTTCGAACCCCGCGTCAGGCTCTGTGCTGACAGCCAGCTCAGAGCCTGGAGCCTGTTTTGGATTCTGTGTCTCCCTCTCTCTCTGACCATCCCCTGCTCACATTGTCTCTCTCTCTCTCAGAAATAAAAAAAAAAAAAAAAAAAAGAAAGAAATTGCTCAGGTTAAGTTCGTTGGCAATGTCCACGTGGCTAAAACCAATGGCCGCTTCTCAGGCCTCCTATTTCATGATGTGGCAGCATGTGACCCAGCTGGTCACTCTCCTTGAAATGCTTTCTTTTCTCGGCTTTCAGAATGCCACGGGCTGCCCTGTCTTCCCCCTCGGTTTTCCTTCTCGGTTCCGCTTAACCTTTCAGACTGCTTCACCTTGGAGAAACCTCCTCCTATCCATTTCTTACCCATCTACACTCATTTCCTCTGTGTATCCAGCACTGTGGCTCTGGATGCTTCGATTATGCTCTTGGCTGGAGAAGGGACTTTGGAACTTGTATGTTCAGATCAGACCTCACCCTACATTCCAGACTTGTATCCCCAACCACCTCCAACATTTCCACTTGGGATACCTCATAACCAGACCCAGCTCCTCATCTTCCTCCCCCTCAATCCCCATGAAACCTGCCCCTCCAGGGCACCCCTCATCTCCGGAGACAGAACTCTGACATGAGAGCTGCTCACGCTGTGTGCGCTGTGCCCAGCAGTTGCCCCAACCGCGTCGGACTATTTGATTCCTTTTCATTCACTCATTCTTTGACGAAGTCAGTCAGTCACAGAACCATTTACCAAGTGTGTATTGAGTTCCACACTTTGCCAGGTTTGCAAACGCAGAAATGAATTGAGAGGCAGCACCTGCCTTCCAGGAGCTCTCAGTCAAGTGAGCAGAGTGTGATCCAGACTTACACCCCAGGGTGGGTGCCGAGACGCAAGCCTCTGTGACTTCTGTTTTCATAGATGAGGGACAATTTAAATGATCAAAGCTATCAAAGATTATAAAAAATTTTTTAAATGTTTTATTTACTTCTGAAGAGAGAGAGAGAGAGAGAGGCAGCGTGAGCAGGGGAGGGTCAGAGACAGAGGGAGACACAGAATCTGAAACAGACTCCAGGCTCTGAGCTTGCTGTCAGCACAGAGCCCGACACGGGGCTCGAACCCACAAACTGTGAGATCACAACCTGAGCTGAAGTCGGACGCCCAGCCGACTGAGCCACCCAGGAGCCCCAAAGCTATCAAAGATTATAAATTTAACTCCTCGGTTGGCACTGGCCACATCTGACCTGCTTCATGGCCACAAAAAGGCTGGTGGCCACCACGATGGACAGTGCTTTATCTAGAACATTCCCATCATGGCAGAAGTTTCTACTGAATATTGGTGCTGCCCTGACCATTGACACCCGCCCCTTCTCTTTTCTTCCCCTCACACCCACCGCTCCGATCCCTCACACCCACCGCTCCAATCCACCAGCAAGCCCCACTGGCTCTACCTTCAGGACAGCCCAAGAACCACTGCTCCTCACTGTCACCACTTTGTCCCTAAGGCTGGATCTCTTTTCTGGATTAAAGCTGTCCAGGTTATCACAGCACCGAACAGTGCTGCCCCCTATGGTCTAGTATCAACGCAGCAGCCATGCAAATCAAATCAAATCATGACCTTCCTTGCTTCAAAAACTGCCCATAACGCTCATCTCAGAGGAAAATGCAGACCTTACAGTGACCAAGGCCCTGCATGATGTGTTCCCCTCACATCCTCTCTGACCTCACTGCATAGCCATTTCCTAAAGTCCTGCTCCAGATGCCCTGGCGTCTGGCCATGTCCCCAACACTGGGCACACGCAGGTTGTTTCTGACTTGATGCATGTCTTATTTTGCTTAATTTTCTCGTTTCTCGTCTGACCATCCATTAGGACATAAACTCCATGAGGGTGCAGACTTTTGTCTGTCCTGACTCCTTCACTGCTGTCTCGACAGTCCCTTGAAAATGCCCGGCACACAGGAAGTACTCAGTAAATATTCTCTGAATGAATGTAAAGGGGAATGCATCAGTGAACAAGAATGAGTAGATGCCTAGAAGGAGCTTATCTTTCAAGTGACAAGACACAAAACCAAATAAAACGCACAAGCTGACATTAAGTCCCAATGAGTGCTTATGCACAAGCTGAAATAGGGGGACGTCCTTTGAGGGGGAGGCGTAGTCAGGAAAGATGACTTTTGGGCTGGGACATGTGCATTGAGAGGGAGGTAGCTTCATGAGGTTCACAGTAAAGTCACGTCAAGTATGAAGAACAGCATGTGCAAAGGCCCGAACATGGGACTGAGCTTTGTATGTTCAAGAGCTGAAAAATGGCCAATGGGGGTAGAGAGTAAAGAGGGGGGACAAGAAAAGAGAGTCAGGCAAATACAGTGCCAGGCACACAGAGTTGTCGTGGGGATTCAATAGGTTAATACATGTAAAGGCTTTCAGGGGAAACCATAACTGGGTTAACCAGCCATGTAACCACCCTCTCCACCCTCCTGGAGAGGGTGACAAGAATCATGACAAACATTGGTGTGCCTGGGTGGCTCAGTTGGTTAGGCAGCCGACTTCGGCTCAGGTCATGATCTCGCAGTTAAGTGAGTTCAAGCCCTGCGTCAGGCTCTGTGCTGACAGCTCATAGCCTGGAGCCTGCTTCCGATTCTGTGTCTCCCTCTCTCTCTGCCCCTCCCCTGCTCACACTTGTCTCTGTCTCTCAAAAATAAACAAACGTTAAAAAAAAAAAAAAAAAAGAATCATGACAAATGCAAGGAATGAGCAAAGGCCAGACAAACTGCAAGGTAGAAAGATCAAGGGGGAAGAGTGGTAGAGGACCAGGCTTGCCCGGTCAGCCGGACCAGAACCTGGGGGATCTTGGAGGCCTTGACAAGGAACTGGATTCTGTCCCAATGGCAATAGGGAGCCAGTGAAGGCTCTTGAGCAGGAGTAACCCGATCTGACATACTTTATTTTTTTAAGTTTATTTATTTTGAGAGAGAGCATGAACAGGGGAGAGGAGCAGAGAGAGAGGGAGAGATAGAGAATCCCAAGCAGGCTCTGTGCTGTCAGAGCAGACCCTGATGTAGGGCTCGATCCCATGAACCGTGAGATCGTGATCTGAGTTGAAATCCAGGGTTGGACCCTGGCGCCCCTGACCTGACATACATTAAAATATTACTCTGGCTGCTAGGACGACAGACTGCAGCAGGACAAGGCCAAGTCGAGGCAGACGGGCGGGTGGGGACGCTGCTGCAGTGATCCAGGCAGGAGATGCCGGTGGCTGGGGCCACAGAGAGGGGGCAGCTTCACAAGATGTTTAAGTTAAAAAGGCTAAGGCATGGAAACAGAAGAGGAGGGGGAACTAAACACTTAGGTTTCTGGTTGAACAGATGGTGGTGCCTTTAGCAGAAAGCCTTGGGGAGGCACAGGCTTTCAAGAAGACATCAAGGAGTCTATGTGAGGGTGTCTTCTGCAGGCTGCAATGTCAGAGAGACTGCCAGAAATCCGCGGAGGGGTCTGGGCTTGCACCTAAAGCCCTTAGCACAGGCCCTTGCACTGTGACAGCTCTGCATATTACTGTCATTAGGGGCATATTCACCCGGGCGTATTTGGGATATGCTGCCTCTCCTGCTACCTGCATTAGTACTGATCACCTTCAAAGAGAGCTGAAATATATTCTTTATTTTAGGGATGAAAACAGGGTAAGGAGGTAAGAAAATGATACCTTTGTTAGTTGCTCCTGAAGTACCATCGAAAGAATATCCTGGGGAAACAAGGAGGTGTTTGTGTTGGGGACGAGATATCGGGGTCCCGGAAGCCTGGGTCCCAAAGGTGGATAAGTCTGCACTCTTGGATCTGAGGCAGGAGGGGGCGGGGGGCCTGGACTCCTGGGTACGTACGAGGGGGCTGGACACTCAGGTCTGAGAAAGGAGAGCGGATGCTGGCACTCCGGGGTGTCGGGGACTCACCACGCCAGAAGGGTCGCACTGGCTGATGCGATGGCCGCGAGGGCCGCGAGCAGGAACTGGTTGCCCGGCGTCAGAGCTTCGGGCCTGGCCAGCAGCTCGCTCAGGCTGGGCCTCCATGGCTCCAACTCCGTCTCCCGCGGCTTCCAGCGCAGCACTTTCTGAAGGGAGACCTGGAGCTCGATCTCCCCACGCGGGGGCGCACTGGTCACTGCGGGGGCGCGCACGTCAGTCGGGCGCGCGCCCCGCGCAGCCCCGCCCCCTCGGGCAGCCCCGCTCGCACCGTTAAGAAAGAAGTAGAGCCGCGCCACTGGGCGCTGGTCGTGCAGGACCGAGCAAGAGAACGTCCCGCTGTGCGTGGGCTGCACCGGCCGGATCCGCGCCAGGTATCCTTGGGCCCGCGGGATGTCTCGGAAGTAGGACTGGTCCTGCGTTCGGACCTGCGGGACGCCCGGGCTGAAGCGGCGGGAGGAGGGGAGCCCTGCCCAAACCCGGCTCAGGTTCCCTCTGCGGCGTCTCGCCAAACCAGAACGTTCGAGCCCCGCCCCCGAACTAGGCCACGCCTTCTCGAGCCTTGGCCCCACCCCTCGTCTATTATTAGCCGACTCCCCCTCCGCTTCAGGCCTCACCCCGCCCGCTGGGCGCCGTAGTCGTTCTCCGGCCCTAAATCCTTCCTTACACTTAAGCCACCTTCCCGAACCTTGACTCCACTTCTGCATCCTGGGACTGTCCCGTTGCACGAAGCCTCGAGTCCCACCCGCTGCGTCCTGACCCCCCCCCCCCATCCTCTAGAGAAGCATAACCCGCCTCCTAAGCCTCTCGCGTTGGCCCCGCTCCGACTCACACCTCCTCCTGCGAACCTCCAGGAATAGGTGATTTCCTCCTTAGGCAGCTGGAAGTTGACAGTGCAGGAGAACTTAGCCTGCTGACCCCGAGTCACCGTCAAGTCCTGAACTGAAGAACAGGGCCGCGTCACCACCCGGGCCCGCCCCCCCTTCCCGTCTCGGCTCCAGTTACCCCAGTTCGTCCCTTTCCCCTCCCTGCCAGGCCCCGCCCTCACCTGGGCAGTCCAGCGGGAGGTTGCAGGCCTTGGAGTAGCACCCGAAGCAGACGAAGCGCCGCGCGACATCCTGGAATCCTGCGGGACGGAGGCGCTGCACCCGGGCTCCGTCTGCGTTCCCCAGCCGGGGTCCCTTTGGCCCACCTAAGGTCTGTTAAGCCTCCGGGGCTCTACCGGCCTGACAGGCCCTGGGCGCCGCCTTCCCTGCGCTCCCTGGCTGCCTCCCAGCCCGCAGGACTCTTATTGGCTTGTTCTGGCTTTGAGACCCGCCTTATCTGAGGTTTGTGAGCAACACCTGGTTTAACTACTACTTCTCTCCAGGGCTCTGATTGGCCTCCCTCGGACCCGAAGCCCACCCCAGCTTTCGCTCCTGACCACCTCCCTTCCCCCTCAGTTCTGAGCTTTGAATGCAGTGCTTACCGCAGGGAGGGACGCAGGCCTGGGCTGTGGAGAAAGAGGAAACGTAACTAGCCTGGGGGGCCTGGAAGTGCCCATCTGGAGCTGCCCTAGGGGATGTTACTGGGCCAGCTGCTTTCCTCCTAGGGGCGGGGCCTGCAGCGCTGCCCACCGAGGGGGCGGAGCCAGTCTGCCACCGCCCGCCGAGAGGGTGGGGCCAGGCCTGCCGCATTCCACGGAGGTCAGGCCCAGGCCTGCTTCGCACCAAGGAGGTGGGGCCAACCCGGGTGTGTTCCACTGAGGTGCAGGGCCAGACCCAGGGCCATTGCTTCAGGGGACAGGGTCTAACTGGGGAGCTCAGAGCAGAGGTGTTGGCTAGGCTGGAATTCGCCCGCTGAGGGGTCCGCTTGGAAAGGAAACATCACAGAGTGCGCAGGCAGATGCAGGGGGAGGCCCAGGCCAATCTGGGACCGAACCATCCCAAGAAGGGTCCTTGCTGGAGAGGAAACCTTCCACTGAAGCGGGCACCACATCCCGAGTGGTCCTGGCAGGGGGAGAGGCTGTGACCGGAGTGACCACCGAAGGCAGCGGCTCAGAGGGTCTGGGCCAAAGGGAGAGGATGGCTGGCTCAGGAGTTTTATAGTCTTGTGTGTGCTGGGCCGTGAAGGAAGGAACTGGAGCCTCTTTTACCTCCTTTAAGCTCCATAATGACCTTCTGCATTTTCTTGGCAGCTTCAAGGAAAGCAACTTTAAAGGAGCCTGGAGAGTGGAAGGAGGCCTTGTAGTAAAGACCCTTCCCTTCCTCAGCCCCTCCCCACCCCCACATGTCTAGCACACCCCCTCTCTCACCTCCTCCCACCTGGTCTACCCAGAAGCCTGACAAATCCCAAATCTCCTTCCATCTGCCCCTGGACTATCTCTCCAGTGGAACCCCTCCTCTGTGTCTTCTGTGTTCATCATCTTGAGGAGAAAGGGGAAGATAAAGATCAAATTCCTCCCCAAGTCCTACCGGCCCTACATGGTCTGGCGTAGTTCCCTCTGGTTCTCTATTCCATCTTGCCCACCTATCATTTCCCCTAGTATGAAAATGACCATATTCTCTAGCACCTCAGGGCCTTTGCACGTTGGCTGGCTTCTGTCTCTAGCATATCTTTCCCTTTACTCCTATCCATCCTTCATCTCCGACCCCACATCATCTCCTTTGAGGTCTTCCCTGACCACAGATCTAATCTAATCCAGTTCCCTACTTTTGTCTCTCGAAGTGTTCCATTCATTCCATTCAGAGTTCTCAGTTTACAATGATATGTATTTATATAATTTATTTAATGTTTATTTTTGAGAGAGCATGAGCAGGGAAGGGGCGGGAGACACAGAATGTGGAGCAGGCTCCAGGCTCTGGGCTGTCAGCACAGAGCCTACCATGGAGCTCCGAATCACAAACTGCAAGACCATGACCTGAGCTGAAGTCAGACACTTAACCGACTGAGCCACCCAGGCACCCCCTTATATAATTTATATATACAGCAATTGTGTAAGTCTGTTTCTTAAGTGCATAAACATACTGTTCTTCACTCTTCAGTGCTGTAACCTCAGAACGCAGGGGAGGGCCCTGAGTCTTAGAAAGTGCTCAATAAGTATGTGTAGAATGAATTCCAGGATTGAGCTGGAATGGAGACCACAGCTGGTGGCCTGTGGCTCCAGTCCATCTCTTGCATGTGTTATCTTTGGACTGGAAATTATTTTTAAAAATTAACCAGTTGCCATCATATAAAATTTGGGAAAGTCACATGAAATGTTTGGCATTTCTTTTAAAAATTTTGGAAGGGCTGCAACACAGAGACTGTATTTTCGTGAGGCAGCGATTTAGCTAGAGCTTAGGGGCTGCCACCCCCTCTCCACAGGGCATGCACCGGACACTTCTCCGTGGTTTCCAGACTCTATTCATTTCTGCCCCTCTTTTACTTTTTATCTCTGTCCCTATGGGTGTTGGGAGTTTTGACCCTTGCAAAGGCCTCCAAACTGTAAGGATTGGTGGCTTTTCTCAAAGTGAATGGCTGGATTGGTGGATTGGTGGATGTGGCTTTGGAAATTAGGAATGTGGCAGGTGTTATGGACTGAATCGTATCCTTCCCAAATTCATATGTGGAAGCCCTAACCCCGAGCACCCCAGAATGTGATTGCACTTGGAGATACAGCCTTAAAGAGGTCATTAAGTTAAAATTAGGTCATTAGGGTGGACCTTGACCCACGACTGATTGCCTTATAAGAGGAGGAAACCTGGATCCAGACACACAGAGGGAAGACCATGTGAAGACACAGTGGAAGAGGCGATGGTCATCTACAAGCCAAAGAGAGGCCTCGGAAGGACCCAACCCTGCTCACCCTGATGCCTTGATCTTGGACTTCCAGCCTCCAGAATTGTGAACAAATACCTTTCTGTTATTTAAGCTACCCAGTTTATGGCACTTTGTTATAGCAACCCTAGCAAGCTAATACACAGGGATTGCTAGTTGCCTCCAAATATCTCTTTAGTAATGTCACACTGCATTTCAGCTGGGAAAGCACCCCTGGCTCCTGCCAAGCACCCAGCTAAAAGACTAGATTTCTCAATATTCCCTTGTAGCCTGTTGTTGTGGCCATGTGACCCCGTTGTGGTCGTATAACCAAGTTCATAGGAAACAGTCTTAAAAGAGACATGGCACCTTCTTATTGATCCCTCCTCTTCCTCCATCTTGCTGCCTGAAGCTTGGATTGGATGGCCAGAGCTCTACAGTCTTGTAGAACTATGAAGATAAGGGCTACATCCTAGGATGGTAAAGCAGGCAGCTGGAAGGGGTTTGGGTCCCCAAGGAGATGAAATGGTGCTGCCACACTGAAGCGCCTACCTCCAGACTTCTCTTACATGGGAGAAATAAACTTCTAGCTTGTTTAAGCTGCTACACATTCCTCTGTGGCTTTTTTTTTTTTTTTTTTTTTAATAAAGTAGGCTTCATACCCAGCACAGAGCCCAACACAGGGCTTGAACTCACAATCCTGAGCTCAAGACCTGAGCTGAAGTCAAGAATTGGACCCTTAACCAACTGAGCCACCCAAGCGCCCTGTGCCTCTGTGATTTAAAACCGATCAGAAAGGGAAGGAATGGAGGATATTGGCAAGAGTGGCTGATGTGATGACCCTTGGGTGTAAACTGGAGAGCGCGGGCACTGAAGCCCGGAGGTGGGTTCAGAATGAGGGGTCAAGAACTTAGGTGTCTCTCCTTGGCCACAGGGCAGACATGTGGTCTGGAGATGGCAGGATGATCAGGATGTGGTCAGAGTGGGGTGCTCAAATGAGAATGAGAGGTCAGGATGTTGGTGGAGTCATCCAAGGAGTATCTTTGGGCCAAACCAAGTGACTCACAGGGAGGATGAGTGTGGGATATACCAAGTGAGCCACGCCCGGGGTATGTGTGTGCTGTGTCAAGTAAATCATGGGAATAAAAGAGGGAGAGAGTGAAATGTCCGGAGGCAGAGGGGTGGAGGCTGTATCAAGTGAACCACAAGGGGGCGTGAGTGGGTGTTGTAAAGTCTCCCCAAAAGAAGTGTGCGTGTGTGTGTGTGTGTGTGTGCGTGTGTGTGTGTGTGTAAAGTGCCTATCATTAGGAACTGTTTCAGACCATCCGGGTTGGAGTCCTGGCTCACCCGTCTGTCTCGTATCTGAGATCTCCATTTCCAGTCCTCTTCCTTATGAGACCTTGGCCAAATATTTAACTTTCCTGATCCTCAGTTTGCAAGATGGGGACAATATCAGCGTCTGCCTCTTAGGGCTGGGTTGGAGGGGGAGGGGCGAGATTTAATGCCATACGATATAAATGCAGCCCCATGCCAAACTATGTGCCATTTAATGGCTGCACAAGAGAATGTCTGTAAGCGCTTTGGATGGTACATAGTGAGTGTTACAGATGGGTCAGTTGCTAGTATTTACCATCTCCAAGTTTGCGATGGGGAAACTGAGGCACAGAGAAGTTAGGAAGGTGGCCCAGGGTCACACAGCTAGACTTCAACCCAGGTGGTTGAGCTCCATGACCTCTGGCAAACCTCCCTTCTCTATACCATACCGTCCACTCCCTGGTTTTTATACACAAACAGTACCACCTGCCACCACCGAGAGCCTCTCGGAGTCGGTGTGTCCACCTCTTGGGCCCTCCATCCGCAAGACCTGGGAGATGCCCTTCCCATCCCCCCCTCCCCCCACCCCCGTCATCCCACACACGCCCAATCCAGACATCTCCTGGGTCCTTCTTTTCTGTCCAGCTGGGCCCCAGCTTCCCCATCTGGAAAACGGGGCTACAAAACCCCACCTCTCAGGACTGGTCTATCTTTTAGGAGGATAATTAACATGTAGCTGCAGACACAGCCTCTCCCATGTTCGGGGCAGGTCTGGCACATAGTCACATCCTTGACCTTCCTACTCTTCCACGCTCACGCTTGCCCCGCAGCTCAGCCATCATCTGGCCCACCTGGCCCACTGCGGCCGGTCCAAACGACCACTGACCTTCTCCTCCCTGGTTTCCCTGCTTTTGCCCTTGGTCTGCATGGCCTCAGTCAGATACTGTCTTCTTTCTTTCTCCCTAAAGTCCTCCAGTGTGGCTCCCGCCTCAAGAGCAAAAGCTGCAGTCAGTTCAAGGGCCCACAAGAACGGTTCCCAAAGTGTGTTCCCGGAGCATCATCTGGGAACCTATTAGAAATATCTGCTTCCTGGCCCTACCTCAGACCTACTGGTCGGAAATGGAGGGTGGGGCCCAGGCGGCTGCATTTTAACCAGCTTCCAGGTGATTCTGACATCCATGGGAGCTTGAGAACCACTAGCCTGGAGGTCCTATGGCATGTGGTTCTTTGAAGCCTCTGATTTCATCCCCTCTTGCTTCCCCCCCCCCCCCACTTGAGCGCCTTCCGCTAGCTCCTCCCCCAGATCATGGCTGGCTGCATGGCTCCCGTCTTTGCTCTGTTGGATCTTCTCATCTGCAACAACCTTGACCAACCAATTTAAAATAATCACCCCAGGAGGCCCGGGGCGCCTGGGTGGCTCAGTTGGGTTTCGTGTCCGACATCGGGACACAGTCATGATCTATCTCACAGTTCACCCGCGAGCCCCGCGTCAGGCTCTGTGCTGACAGCTCAGAGCCTGGAGCCTGTTTCGGGTCCTGTGTCTCCCTCTCTCTCTGCCCCTCCCCTGCTCATGCTCTGTCTCTCTCTCAAAAATCAATAAAAACGTTTTTAAAATTTTAAAATGATCATCCCATGGGGCACCCTGTTCCCTTTCTGTACTGTTTTCCTCCACATCCCGGATTACCAACTGACACACTATAGTATTTCATTGATTCTGTTTATTGTCTGTCCCTCCCACTGCCCCCAATACAAACAACCAACCTGAGGGCTAATGGTTTGGAGTTTTGGTCACAGCTAAGTCCCCAGCCTTGTTTCTGGAAAACTCAGTAGATACCTGTGGATCGTACTGCACCAGCTTCTCCCGGCCTCCAGTCCGTCCTCCAGAAGCTCTTTCTACTCCCAGAGCTGAGCCTGCCCTTCCCCCACTCATAGCCCTGCTCCTTCAGGACAGTGTCAAGTCTCCCTGACCTTGAGGCTAAGCCCTGGGCCCATGAGTCTGGCTGCCTCCCCGGGATCCCTCACCGTCACTCCAGCCTAGCCCAGCTCACCAGCTACTCCCACTCCTGTTCTTTCTCCCAGACTCCCCGTCTCCAGGGAGGACCTAGCGCCCACCCTCGCGTGGGGGCCCAGGGTGCTGCCCGTTACCCTCCAACTCCCCAAACAGCCCCATCAGACCCACCTCCTGTCCCTCTGGCTCTGGACTCTCATCTTCATCCATGTCATCTTCTGCACCTTCACAGCCCTGCCCGGCTCAGGCCTCCCTCACCCCAGCCTCCACCCAGGCCTCCCAGCCTCCACTGTCTCCTCGCTCCCGTCCGTCCACACACAGCTCTAGGGGGAGGTCTCCTACATGCAGAACCGGACTTCGTCCTGCTCTTTTCAAAAACTCCTGTGACGCGGTGGTCTACGTGGGGCAGAAAAGGTGTTTCCTGGAGTCCCGAGTCCCACCCCAGCTCTGAGTCACTGAGGCCTCTCTTTGGGGCCCAGATTTGGGGGATCTGTACCTGAAGTCTTCTCCGTGCTGACTCCCTCCCCAGACACCCCCTGGGTGGACAGGAACCTCCCATCTTTCAGGATCATTGTCAGAAAGCTTGGTGGGCAAGAGCAGAAAACAAAGGCCTAACTGCAGATGTAGAAATAAACCCCGAGCCCTGGACCTCCAACGGGCCAGGCTAGGCTGCAAACGGCACTCCGGCCTCCCTCCTCTCTCCCACTCTTGAGGTCTGTCTGGTCAGGAGGCTTCTCTCGCTCACCACCCTGCACAGCCATCAGGGAAGCAAAGAAATTGTCCCATCTTACAGGTGGGTATGTTGAGGCCCTGAGGGAGGCAGCAGCCCATCCAGAACCTCATAGCCAGGAAGAAGGGGAGCCACACCACCAGGTCAGAACTCATGTCTGCCTGTTCCCAACTGGGCTTCAGACTCTAGGTCATTTCTGCACTATTCTTTCACCTCCCTGCCCGCATCCGCCCATCCCTTCTTCCCGACACGTGACCAAGCTCACTCAGCTTACTAGCACCGCCTCAGGATCTGCCACATTCTGGGTCCCCTTCCCCCACACACGTCCACCTCCTGGGGGCTTCCAACCCACGTCCGCCGAACCATCCCCAGCCCACTCACCCTGGGCAACAGCTATCTCCTGGAGAGAGTGGGTCATCTGGGTGAAGGCGTCACGCAGGTGGCTTCTCTCATCGTAGTCTGGGAGTGAGGGTGGAGGGCAGAGGCTGGGAAAGCAGTGCCCTCGACACCACGTCCACAGTGTGGACATTCTCTGTCCCTCTAAGACACCTTCTGCCTCCAAGTCTCTGTCCACACTCCACTGCTGTCCGCCATCTCTGAGTCTGTCCCCACCCAGAGTCTGTCCCCCCACATCTCTATTCTCCCCTCTCTGAGTCTATTCCCCATCTCTGTTCCCCCTCCCGGTCTGTCCCCCATCTCTATCCCACCTCCTGAGTCCGTCCCCTCAAATGTCTATCCGCCCCCAAGTCCGTCCCTCACTCCCTGCCCTAAGTCTCCCCCACCGTCCCTTCTGTGTGTGAATCTCAGCAGTTCTCAAGGCGCTGGGTCCCTCTCTGCACGGCCCCCCCCCCCGGACCCTGGCGGACAGTGGCAGGTCTCCTCACTGATTTCGGTGTCCGCGAGGTCTGCAAAGGCGCTGCTGAATGCCTCCTGACACGCCTCCAGCTGGGGGCCCTGCGTACCCACAAAGATCTGGCAGATGCGGGTGCGCTCCTTATAGGACGTGAAGCAGATGAGACAGGCCCAGGCAGGGGCCCTGAAGACCGTGAGGGCCACCAGGGCAGATGGGACAGCGCTGTCTCGGGCCAGCAGGGCCATAGCGGAGCGTCTAGGCCCAGGGAGAAGCTGGTGACCTTTGTGAGGTCACCACGGGGTGGGGGAGGGGCACGTGGTATAGGGTCAGAGGTCGGATTTCTGTGGCTGGTCAAATGTCAAGCTCTGGGTTTTCACGGAGAAAGGGTGTGAGCGGTCAGGGGTCAGGCGGGCAATCCCCAGACTCGTGGTCGGTCCGGACGCCAGGCTCCCAAGAACCTCACCTGTGACCCTGGATGTCCTCACAGGTTAAAGGGTCTCAGGGACCCAGAGGCCGGCAGTGTAGGTGTGTGGTGGCCCAACAGGGCCTGGGGTGGGGTGGGGGTGGGGGGTCAGAGTGGAGATGGCACAGAGATACCGGGAGACCCTGAGAGACAGAAGCTGAGACACGGAGGGATACCAGACAACACAATAAGAGAGAGAGAGAGATGGAGAGAGTCTGAGGGGCTGCTGTGTAGACACACAGAAGTCCAGAGACACAGTGGAGACGGACAGACAGAGAAAGTGAAATAGAGGTTTCTTGGCGGGAAAGCAACTCCTTGAGGGAAAGGGGAGGAGGAAACGGAAGAGGGAGGACGGGAGAGACAGCCGGGCTCCTCCTCCCAGGGTCCCCCCGGCCTGGGGCAGCGCTCAGGGGCTGGGGTCCCCGCCGGGCGTCCCGTGCAGGGCGCAGCCTGGGGAAAGCTAGGAGGCCGTATAGTGATCTCCGTGGGTGTCCTCCTCAACTATACAACCTCCTACCTCAGCCCGGGGGGCGCGGCAGGTGGACAGACAGACGGATGGACGGACAGATGGGGGCCAGGAGGACCAGGGAGGGCGGGGAGGGCCGGGAAGACCCCAGCCGCGATGGTGAGCCCCCGACACGGACCCACAGACTCGAGCTTGTGTGCGGCGAAGGCCCCGCAAGGTCGGTTCTACGGGTGGGTGCCAGGCCCCAGGAATCCGGGCCCCCGGCCCCCTCCTCCCTCAGACCCGGGAGTCCAGCCAGGCCTGCCCCCCGGGGGAGGGCACAGCCTGGTTCCCGGATGCGGAGTCAGAGGGAGCCTCACCTGTGTTGCAGTGGGGCCCTTTGGGCAAGCAGCTCCCTACCTACCTGTCAGATTCTGGAATCCAGGGCTAGGGCGGAGGCGGGGGTATGAAACCTGCCACCCGCTCTGGATATTTCCTCCCCTCTCTCAGGTCTTCTTCTGGCCTCCCGTCATTGTCATTTGTAACGGTGACAGCTATGCCCCCCAGCACTAACACTGCCCGGGGCTAGCAAGGTGCTGGCAGCCCCCCCCCCCCCATTGGGCAGGTGAGACGGCCGAGGGGAGAGGCTTGGCCGGAGCAAGTGGGAGGGGCTGGGCCTGGTGGGCTGCGCGGGCCCCCAGCCTCCCCACCCCGGGGTAGCAGTCCGTGCACCTGCGGGCGGCAGGTCGGTCCCTCCGTCCGGTGCTGTCTGTCCCACGCTCTGTTTCCAGCTTTCTGGCCCTCTCCTCCCGCGCCTCTTCCTGCTGCGCCCGGCGCCCGAGTCCGCTCCCGGCTTACCTGGGCTCCACCTCCGCCTGCGTCTGGGCCTCCGGCTCTGCATTGCTCACTCCCCGCTCGCGGCCTCCTCTCTCTCGGCCTCGGCGCTCTCCCTCACAGATGGCCTCTCCCTCTCTTCTCCTTCCTTATTCTTTTTCCTTCCCTTCTGTCTTTCTTCCTCCCTTGTCCTCCTCCCTCCCTCTCTCTTTGTCTCTCATGCTCTCAGTCTCTTTCTTCCTTAATGTCTCTGTCTCTGCCCCTCTCCCTTCTCCTCTCCCTCTCTCTCCATCTCTCATCTCTGTCTCCCTCTGCCTCTTTCCTCCGTTCCCTCCCACCCCCCCTTCTTTCTCCCTCCCTTCTCCTTCGCCCCCTCTGCCTCTCTCTGCGCCTCTCTCTCTCTCTCTCTCTCTGTCTTTCTCCTTCCCTCTCTCCCTCCCCCTCGCAGAGCCCGGAGCCAGGTCTGGAGCTGGGGGTGGGGTGGGGGTGGTTTGAGAAGGGGCCCAGGGCTGGGGTAGCGACCTGCTGAGGAGGGGGAGGAGAGGCGGGAAGGGGGCGGAGGAGGAAAGGAGATGGGGGGCCAGAGTCGGGTCCTCATACCCCTTCCCTCCTTCCCAACCTCCCAGACCCTCAGGCGGGGGCGAGAGTCAGGCCAAGGTGGGGAGGAAGGGGAAGGGAGGAGGCTGCCCCCGCCCCCCCCCCAACCTGGCCCGGAGCCCAGGCCGGGTTCCCAGCATGCCCCGGGGCTGCCTGGGGCCTGAGGAGGGGGTGAGAGGGGAGCTGAGAATCTTAAAGATTTGCAGGACCCTAGCATCTCCCCACTCCCCCCCAAAATTTCTCGTTGTGGAAACTGAGACCCAGAGAGAACCGTCAGGACTTGTTCAAGGTCACCGGACCCGGCGCCGATGGAGACACGAACTCCCTGGGCCCATAGGCCCGATTTGGGGAAGGGGTTGGCGCTGGACTTCCCTCAGGTCTGGGTCCCCCTCCCCCTCTCTGCAGACCCTGGGGAGCCCCCAAGGGTCAGAGAGCAGACCCAAACAGTCTGGCACCATGGCAACCAGCTGGCCCCGCCCCCTTAACCCCCAGAGGGCTGGGATCCAGCTGGGGCTTAGAGAGGAGGTGGGGACGCCTGGGTTCGGGGGAGGAAGGGGCAAGGGGCCCGGACTCTGCCGTTTTGTGCAGGGTGGGGGCTGGGCTGTGGACTCCCAGGTCTGAGGGAAAAAGAGGCCCGAGGCCCAGTCTCTCTCGGGTCCTGGGGTAAAGAGGGCTAAGGGTTCGGATTCTGGAATTCTGGGGGAGGGGGCTGGGTTGCGGACTCCCAGGTCTGAGGGAGGAGGGGGCTGGGGCCTGGAATCCCAGGTCCCCAAGGGAGCCTGGATGCTGGGCCTCTCCTCCGCCAGACATCCCCTGCCCCCGCCGCTGACCCTGGCCTGTCTGGCAGCCCAGACAACCTCCCCCCCTCCTCCGCCCCCACCTCGCACGGCTCACCCTTGACCCCTCAAAGCCCCGCAGCCCCTTCCCTGCCCCTCCCCCTCCCCTCCAGCCAGACGTTAACCCTTCCGCTGCCAGAGGCACCTCCAAAGCCAACCTCTCTCCCTCCACCTCCCCTGAGGGCTCGGGCGGGCATCTTGCCCCAGCGTCCTCCAGCCTCCGCATCCAGCTACCCCGACCCCATCTCTCTCCTCCTCTGGAATCCAGGAGGCGTTCCCCGCCCTCTCCTCCTCTGGACCCCGGAATCCAGGCCCCCAGCCCCCTCCTCCGAGGATTCAGGAGCCCGGGTCCCCAGCCCCCTCTTCCTCCAAGAACCCAGAAACCCAGGCCGCCGCGGCCTCCTCCTTCTGGGACCCCGGGTCCGGGCCCCACTGCCCTCCCCACCCCCCGCCCCACCCCCAGCCCGCTTTCCGCAGACTCACGGCTCCGCCGCTCCCGCGTCGGAGGGCAGGGGCTCCCCGGCCAGCCCCCAGGCCGCGCCGAGCCGGGCCCGCCGCCGCCGCCGCCCGCTCTCCATCCTCTCCCCGCCTCCGTCGCCCGACGGCCTCTCCCCTTCCTCCCGGCGGCCCCGCCATCCTCCTTCCCTCCTCCCGACTCCCTCCGGTCCGCGTCTACGCCCGGGACCCCGCGGGCCGGCCCCCTCCCCGGGCGCCCCCGCCCCGGCCCCTCCCCGCCGCCGGCCGGGCCCGGCCTGCCTCCCCCGGCCCCGGAGCTGGCCCCGGTCCAGGGGAAAAAATTCCATCCAGCCCCGGGGAGGAGGCGCGGGCGGGGGAGGGAGCGCGCGGGGAGGCCGGCCGGGAGCGTGACGCAGGGCGGAGGGAAGGGACAAAAGGGGCCGGGGCGGCGGGGCGCCGCGCTCCACTTCTCCCTCCCTCCGCCTCCCGCGGCCGGCCCGGCTCTCCCCTCTCCGCCTTCTCCCGCGCCCTCCACCTCTGCGCCCTCGCCTGCACGCCGCGGCCGCCGCCGCCTGCGCGGTGCATTCTCCTGCCGGTCTCTCCGTCTGTGTCTCCCCCCTTCCTCCTCCCGCCCCCCCCCACCCCGCCCCAGCGGGGTCCGCTCCCCTCCTCGCTCTCCCCCCCTTCCTGCCCTCCCAGCCTCCTTCCCCTCCCTCCGCTTCGCCGCCACCCGCCCCCCGCCCCCCGCACTGGGGCCCCAAAGGTGAATCAAACCCATAGCTGCCCTTGCCGACGGAGCTCACAGTCTGATGGAAGAGACAGCCCTAGACGCAGACAGTTCCAATCCGGGGCGATCGGGGTATGACAGAGCCCGAGGCCAGCGGCTGTGGGAGCCCCGGGGCGGAAGGAACCCTTTCGGCTGGAGACGGCCGAAGGGACCTCCGAGAACCGGGAGAAGTTAGATCTGGATGGCCGAGAGGGGGACTGGCCGCAGCAAGGGCGTTCCAGGCAGGGGCTCAAAGGCGGGGAAGCGGGCGCGATTCCGGGAGGACCGCCAGGCGGAGTCGGCCTGGAGCCTTAGAGGACAGGAGCCGAGGAGCTCCGGGGATGCGGCTGAGGCGGTGGGCGGGGCCAGGCTCGTGAGGCTGGGAACTTTCTCCTAGGGGTGACCGGGAGCCGTGGAGGGTTGTGGTCAGATCTGGGCGTCAGAGAGACCCCTCTGGGGCCCTGTGGGGGATGGGTGGAGGGGGAGGATGCCCGAGCCGGGGCTGGGACCCTGCAGACAGAAAGGAGAGGGTGGGGCAGAGAATGTGTGGGGGCAGGAGGGACTGGGCACTGACCGACTGTGGGGGTGACGAGGAATGAGGGGGTGAAGAAGATACAGCCACCAGGAGTCTGGCCCAGGAGCTGAGGGGACAGAAGTTGTTTCCAACTGGGAACCCGTAGGAATTGGGGACAGGAGAAGATAGATGCTATGCGCAGCTTTGAACTTGGTGGACGTTTGGCCTAGGGGACATTTAGGGAACACATTCAGGCAGCATTGGGTATACGATTCTAGGGCTCCAACAGTGAAAACTGCATTTCCCTTCCACCCTGTCCCCCAGACACCCAGTACTTGCCGGAGACAGCTTATGCTTACCAATTTCTTGTGCGTCTTTTCAGCCGAATTCTATGTATCTATGCACATATGTTATGCCACCCTTTTCTCTTTTTTTGTCCCCACCGGGGATCACATTGTCCTACACTTTGCCTTTCTAACACTATATCTTGAAGATCCTATATCCATGCTTGAGCCAACTCCTCCGTTTTAGGGGCTATATAGTATTCCGTTGCATAAATTGTTATCCATACTTATTCAGTCAATTGGGAGATTGGTTTTCTTTCTTGCATATAGAAACTAATGCTTATGCATATGCAAATTACTTCTTTTAAAAACGTTTATGTATTTATTTTGAGAGAGAGCACAGGAACTGGGGAGGAGCAGAGACAGACAGACAGACAGACAGAGAATCCCAAGCAGCCTCCACGCTTTTAGCGCAGAGCGGGAGTAGGTGCCAAACTCAGGAACCCTGAGATCATGACCCAAACCAAAATCAAGAGTTGGATGCCTAACACACTGAGCCACCCAGGTGCTCCATTTCTTTTTTCTTTTTTTTTTTTACTGATTTCTTCCAGTGCTCTTAAGCCTCTGAACTCAGATATTTGATATTGACTTCAAAGTCTTTTAAATTGTGTTTTCAGTTGCCAATGATAGGAATAATAGTAGCGAGAACACATACCCTTTGTTGAATGTCCAGCTTGGGAAGGGTCCTGGGGTAGGGTATTTGCTATACCTTAGATCATCCAATCATCACAGCAATCTTATAACTTTTTAAAGTTGATTTTGAGAGAGATCGTGGGGGAGGGGAGGGACAGAGGGAGAGAGAAAATCCCAAGCAGGCTCCAGGCTGCTAGAGCCCAGCTTGGGACGTGAGGCTTGATCTCATCATGACCTAAGCCGAAACCAAGAGTTGGACGCTCAAGCAACTGGGCCACCCAGGCGCCCCTCACAGCAGTCTTACAATTGGAATTGTTTCATCTCTATGTAAGGATGAGGGTTCTGAATAGTGAGTTAGCCAAACTCCAAAGTGAATGGCATCTTCAGGACTTGAACCCAGGCCTCTCTGACTCCACGTTCCATGCCTTTCCTTTGGAGGTGAGCTGCCTCTGCAAAACAATACGCAGCTTACCTGGGATTAGTATTTGGCTCATGTCATGCACACAAGTTCACATAGGATAAAAAGGACACTTTGTCATGCCCTGTGCCTTGATCTGGTGTCCAGAATTGCTGTCACTCTACATTTACCCCAGATGCCCTATGGTCAGGACAAGACAGTGTCTGCATCACCCTGCTGTCTCCTTCTCCTGGCTCTGATCCTGTCATGCCGGGATTCTTGGTGTCTGGGTCTGGCTCTGCGAATTCACTGAGGGCAGGATCTGGGTCTGAGTCATCACTGTGTCCTCACTATCACCCAGCATAGGGTGTGGCTCAGAGCAGGGGCCCAGGAAGAGGTTTGATAATGAATGGAGGGATAGATGAATAACAAATGGCTTTATGGGTTGGATTGGAACTTGTTTAAGCCTCTGGGATAAAAGGACATAATTCCCGTTAGTTCCTAAAACATAAGACTTACATTCCTATTGGGTAGTGAGTCACAGGCATGACTGTTTCCATCATTCTCTGTTATACAGAGTTTGTGACTCCCTTGGCACCTAGGACTCAGCTGATGAAATTCCCACCAATCGCTGAGACTCAGGACCCCCCATTCCAATGAATCCCTGAGACTCATGACCCACCCTTCCCATCACCCCGTGAAACTCTGAACCCGGCTTCCCACCAGCCCCTGACACTCTGGACCCACCCTTCCCATCAGCCCCTGAGACTCAGGACCTACTGTTCTCATCAGACCCCGAGACTCAGGACATGCCATTTCCATCAGCCCCTGAGACTCTGGACTCACCTTTCCCATCAGCCCCCAATGCTCTGGACCCACCTTCCCATCAGCCCCTGGGACTCAGGACTTACCATTCCCATCAGCCCCTGGGACACTGGACCCACTGTTCCTATCAGCCCCTGAGACTCTGGATCTACCTTTCCCATCAACCCTGGAGACACCAAGGCCACCATTCTCACCAGGCACACAAGTACTGTCGTTCTTTTCAGTCCCTGATATCCAACATCCATAATTCCTATACCCCTAAGATATGGGGACCCCCATTCCCATCAACTCCTGAGATACCAGTTTTCCATTCTTATGATCTCCTGGAACAGTGTGCCAGTGGAAAATAGTACCATCACACCCATTGCATATCCATCCCCACTTCCCAGAACAGGAACTGTTAGCCAGGAAGATACCTGCCTTGAAGCAGGTCTGAGTCAAGAACTCACTGGTAATACTATAGAAAAGAAGGCACCAGGTCACGAAGAACATCAAGGTAGCATAGAATCTTTCCATATGAGGGATCAAATCCAAACCCGAGATAATCCTAGTGTATCGCCAGAAAATCCTTCCACGTGGGGGTTAAACTCCAAACTCAAGATAATCCTCCAGCACCACTTAATCTCCACAGGTGTGATAATCCTCAGACTGGCAGAGCAACCAAAATACCAGATGATCCAAATGGGACACATGCTCCCATTGCACCATTAAATTAGCCCAGATGGGCACATGCTGCTCACAGGACTTGGGTGCAGGGGCACCTTCTCTCTCTCTCTCTCTCTCTCTCTCTCTCTCTCTCTCTCTGTGTGTGTGTGTGTGTGTGTGTGTGTGTGTGGTGCAGAGAAGACAAAGCTTTGTCCCTTCACTAACCCTTACCTGGACAGAGGGTAGGAAAAAGGAGTGTGATTTTATGGGAGAGTTTCTCCACAGCCTGTTTCTTCCTCTTAGGGCCATGCTTTCTGTTCATCTGAATAGTGAAGGACCTTCAACGACTCTGTTCTTTGCGTCTCTGCCAAAGGCAGGGAGGGTGGTTCTGAGGTTCAAGGAGACTGGAGTAGATGGGTAGTTTTTTCCAAGCTCCTCAGCTGCCATCTACTTCCCCTTCCTCTGGTAATAGAGCCTCTTTTGTGTGAGAAATCCACTCCATGTGACTCTACTAAGAATGTTCTAGCAAAACATGTGGTCTGGGCATTTGACCGAACACAGGCCAATCAGAACATTCATTCACTTGTATCCGCTCCCCACCCCAAAACAGAACTGATTAGAATCCAAGATTTTACATTCTAATCTTAAAAAAAATTAGAGGATTTTATTTTTAAGTAATCCCTACAACCAACATGGGGCTCGAACTCATAACCCTGAGATAAAGAGTTGCATGCTCCACTGATTGAACCAGCCAGACACCTCTTTATTTTTTTATCTTGACACCTCACTTTATTATTTATTATCTATTTAGTTTTCTAAAATATACAAGCATTTGTACACACAGGTAGTGTTTTTGTTTTCCGAGAACAGGATTATATTATATATAGCAAAGTGTTTAAGAGCACAAATTCTGAAGCCAGGCTGCCTGGGCTTGAATCCTGGCTCAGCCACTTTCCTCACTGTGTCTCGTTATGCCTCAATTTTGTCATCAGTGAAATGGATATAATAATTAATAGTACTTACATCATAGAGTTGAGATATGAGGATCACAGGAGCTAATATATGTAAAGTGCTTAAAACAGGGTCTGGCACATAGTAAGCCACGCACAAGGATTGTCTGTTGTTATTATTCCTACAAGAAACTAGAAAGCTGGCTCTTTATTCTAATTTCTACATACACATGCACAGCATTTTCTAGAAACAGGACAATTTATACTTATGGAAATATTTTTACTATATTCTTCCTTCTCCCCCTCCTCTTTCTTTTTCCTTTGCTTGCGTTTTCTTTCTTAATGTTTTATTTATTTCTGAGAGAGAGAGAGAGACAGCGTGAGCAAGGAAGGGTCAGAGAGAGAGGGAGACACAGAATCTGAAGCAGGCTCCAGCTCTGAGCTGTCAGCACAGAGCCCAATGCGGGGCTCCTACCCGTGGACCGTGAGATCATGACCTGAGCCAAAGTCAGACACCTAACCAACTGAGCCACCCAGGTGCCCTGTTCTTTTCTTTTTTTTTTTTTTTAAGGTCTTTAATATTTTTAATGTTTTTTTTTTACTTGTTTAAATGTTTTATTTATTTCAGAGAGAGAGAGAGACAGCGTGAGCAAGGGAGGGTCAGAGAGAGAGGGAGACACAGAATCTAAAACA